ACCTTAACTTTCAAACTCCTTTTGCTGTAGTCTGTTGTTTTTAGGTACTGTTGAGTCGGTTCTGACTCATAGCGACCCGATAGGACAGAGGAGAACTGCCCCATAGGATTTCCAAGGAGCGGATGGTGGATTTGAACAGCTGACCTTTTGATTAGCACTGTAGCTCTTAACCACTACACCACCAGGGCTCCTTTACTATAGTCTAGGAAGGTTAAATTCCCTATGGTCTTTTCCATAGGTTGAGCCCTTGAGAAGAGTAAGAACATAAAACATGTGATGCCTTTTTTCTTAAGATTCTGCTTGCAGTAGGTCTCTACCTGGGAATGTGGAGATTTCACCCTTATATGAATGTTGCATTGCCGCTAACCGAGTCCATGCTGAGCTCTGCTCTTAGTCACGCTGCACTCAGCCAACCCTCTCATGTTAATTTGCTCTATATCCTGCAGATTACTGAGTATCTTAGCTGAGTGGTTTGGGGGACGTTTTGAGTTGAATACTATATCAGGAATTGGTTTCTTGTCTGCCTGTATGCCGGCATTTGGAGAACCTTGAATGTAGTATAAAGTTAGGGTAAATAGTACCCCATCAATGTTTAAAATCTCTATGGAAAAGTCACACCCACACCAATTTATGATCTCTGGGGACATCAGTTTAGTGACACAGTGACAGAGGAGCAGAGTTAGGGAAGCCAAATATAGCAGCTGCTAGCTAAGAAGAGAATTAGGAAGTATGGAAACGGATAGCCCCTTTCTAGCATTTGACCGCTCACACTTGCCGTCCTGATGGAGAACCCTTTCTGTCTCAGCCCTCCATCCATCACATTTCTCCTCTACCAGGACACGAAGAAACACAAATTTTTATTAGTTTGTTGTTGAGGTTAAAATAAAAGACATTTATAATGCACAGAACAAGAACACGGAGGCTGGTCAGTCCAATTCCATTTGTAACAACAGTTCAGCAGTGTCCCCAAGGAGCTGGACTCTCTCCGCTTTCCGGCTTCTGGTCCTCCCTTGTGTTAGCTTTGTCCTCAGGCCGGTGTCCACATTGCTGCAAGATGGTTGCTGCAGATCCAGAGAGCCTTTGGTCCCGGGACCCAGGCAGGGTTTTACATTGCTGTCGTAGGGATCCACTCACATGCTTTTCTTTGCTCAGACAGCTGGAGGGTGAAAAGCCTCATCTGGAAGGGCAGCGTGGGAAAGAACAAAAGCAGAACTGTGTTTTGAAGAGGTTTTCATAATACATCTTGGGCATTTGGTGCAAATTAAGTGACTGCATTTTCAAATATGTAAATTTGAAACATCATATATGCTAAATGATGCATATAACCTCCAAAGCCAATACAGTCTTAAAATATGTGAGGATTCGGGGTATGGTTTATTTCACTAGTTCCCTAAAAAATATGTGGGTACTTGACTGTTCTCTGACTTGCTCCTTTTTGGGTTTGTGTATGCTGGACGTTTCCTTTGCCACAACTCCTACCTACAGAATTGATTTGATTTTGTTTTTTTTATGGCTTATTTCTCTTTTCCCATTACCTTAGGACATTATAGATGCTTAGTGAACACTGTTGACAAATAGACTGTGATGCTCAAGATAGACCTTGACACAGAATATTCACCCCCAGCTCCCTCAGCTGGAAACCATATTCCTTGTGAACCTAGTAAATGTTGAATTTATGCCATAGCGTTTGTTTGCCTTAGCAACCAAACACTTGGGGAGGGTGCAGTGGGGGGAGGGTAGAGGTGGAGAGTTCAGAGCTTTAGCCTGGAGAGCACATGACTCTGCTCCTCTCCCCACCCACCCAGCTAGTCTTTCCCTTTGGGATTCCTTCTCAGTATTAACACATTGGAAGAAAGTAACGGAGAACACACACTGGGATCCATTTCTTGATTGCACTAAAACTACTTACCTACTCTTTATGGTGTGAGTCTCGTTCAGAAAACTATTCTGTAAGGTTAGGAGGGACCGGTGCCTGGAGAAGGACATCGTGCTTGGTAAAGTAGAGGGTCAGCGAAAAAGAGGACGACCCTCAACAAGATGGATTGACACAGTGGCTGCAGCAATGGGCTCAAGCATAACGATGATCGTGAGGATGGTGCAGGACTGTGGGCAGTGTTTCGTTCGGTTGTACACAGGGTCGCTATGAGTCAGAACCGACTCGACAGCACCTAACAACAAGAACAAGGTTAGCACATCCAGGAATAGATAGCTGGCCGGCAGACTATCCAGCACAGGTCATTTAGTTCTCTGCAGCCTTATCTAGTCAATCAAACCCAGAGCATTTTGGATCCAGTACTTTCTTTCTCTGGTTACTGCGTAAGTTAAGTTGTTTTCCCTTTTAGTTCTAGCCAGTTTTCGCCCCCAGTGTAAGGTAGCACTGGTGGTTCAATGGTAGAATTCTCACCTCCCATGCGGGAGATCTGGGTTCAATTCCGGCCAATGCACCTCATGCATGTCTACCACCCTCCTGTCAGCGGTGGCTTGTGTGATGCTGAACAGGTTTCACTGGTGCTTCCAGACTAAGATAGACTAGGACGAAAGACTGGTGAGTTACTGCTGAAAGTCAGCCAGTGAAAACCTTATGATCACAAGGGCTTGATCCACAAACGATCACGGGGATGGCGAAGGACCAGGCAGCGTTTTATTCTGTTGCATGTGGGGTTGCCATGAGTCAGGGGCAACCCACTGGCAAACAGCAAACCCCAGTATAAACTGGAATTTTCTCTCTAACCCAGTTGACCCCTGAGAAAGTGTTTTGCTCCAAAGGTTCTGTCCTTGGTTGTAGCTCTATCGAATCTAAGAAGTTTAAAGACATTTTCTTGGCTAAAGACATTATCTGGTCCTCAGTTTCCATGGTACTCTCGACTCCTAACCAGCTTCTCACTTTGGACTTATTTCTCCAGCTGTCTCTTAGTCGTCCCGTTCTGGGCACCTCAAACCACTTCCGTCTTGTTCACAGTTTACTGTCCTGTCATTGGTTGTTGACCACTGACTTGCTTATTACAAATTTTTATTTCCATCATATTTTTTGACACTTAGAGACTGACGCTTTGTCTACCATTCAGTTGTTAGCAACAAATATATTTTGGTATACAATGAGGAGGGGTCTGTTTATCACGTATAAATATCTAAGATTGATTTATTCAGTACTTTACAAAGATTTGAACTTCACATTGCCATTTTTTTCATAAGATGGCCATCAACAACTCTACCAGGGTGTGTATATTTGTATGTGAAACTCAGGCAAGCTAGGCATAATCCTAAAACCAAACCCACTGCCACTGAGTTGATTCTGACTCATAGCGACCCCGTAGGGTTTCCAAGGCTGTAAATCTCTACGGAAGCGGACTGCCACATCTTCCTCCTGCGGAGCTGCTGGTGGTTTCAAACCACCGACCTTTCGGTTGGCAGTCAAGTGCTTTAACCACTGTGCCACCAGGACTCCCAGTGTATAATAAACGAAACTCACTGCCGTTGAGTTGATTCTGACTCTTTGCAACCCTATAGGACAGAGTAGAACTGCCCCATAGGGTTTCCACGGCTATAAATCTTTACGGAAACGTGCTGCCTCATCTTTCTCCCACGGAGAGTGCTGGTGAGTTCAACCTGTGACCTTTTGGTTAGCAGCCGAGTGCCCTAACCACTGCGCCACCAGGGCTCCGTAAGTCATAATGGGAAGCTTTTATATATCAAACAGGCTCTTTCAAAGGTGGTTTTCAATTTTAAAGTGAAATTGACAAAATTGGACTATGATGAATTTATAATTGTAGTCAATCGCTTCTCAGGACTTTTGAGTCCTTGAAACAGTCCTTTGGTAGCGTATCACTTTTCCTTGGTGTTAATTAATTAATATATCAATTTATCCATCCATCCGTCCATCCATCTGTCCATCCATCCATTTTATCTACCAGTTTGCAAACTGGTAAAAGTGGAAAAGGATTAGAAGCCAATCTATGCTGTCATGCTGAAGATGACAGCACTTTGATAGTGAAGAAGTACGGTGTCATTGTTTTTATTTCGCAGTGCCCAAATTACCTGCGACAAGTTTAAGAGGTTTCATTCATGAAAATAAAAATAAAATAAATCTAATTATTCACACTACTTTGGTGTGCTATAAAAGTCTAATTATTTGAACTAATTTGTTCAGATAGCATCTGGTAGAAAAATATATCAGACATAATTAATTGTTTTCAAGATGTGATAAGGTAGATCTGTCTGCAGAGGACAATTAAAAAGAGTAGCAGGGGGTATTGATTGCTTTTTAGAGAAAAAAAAATTCTCCATTTCCAAATGTTAGCAGTTGAGAGGGAAAAATTCCCAGTTGGGAAGAGGGTTTTGCAGGTTACTTCATTCCCAGGTGTTTGACGCTGAGTGGAGTCTTAGATGAATGGAGCTTATGGCAGTCTTTGGGAATGACAGACTCCAAGGACCTCAGCTTCCTGCTGTGAAAGCTTCTATTTTCAAAGCACGCCAGTTTCAGTGGGAATGTACCCATGGTCTCTGTGCTGCTTCTAGTGAAGACCAGAGGTTTTTCCCCTGAATCTGAGACAGCTACAAAACAGGATACCTGACTGCTAACAAAATAAATTTCACCATGTTGACAGTGAACTGCATGTTCTCAACTGTGAATGGAATTTAACTCCATCACTTATGAGCAGAAAGAAATGATGTAGTTACTTGCTTTTCTCTTGGTCCCTTTTGACACCATTGCATGCTATGGATATGACTTCCAATCATTCTAAATTAAAAAAAGAGAGATCCAAATACTATGATCGTTTGCTTTGAGATGACCCATGTTTTCTCCTTTTGCTTTTTCTCTCTCCTTGACCTAGCAGCAGGAAGCCTTTGTTTGAGGTGTTCATCTGGAACAACTTTTCCACACTTGTTTTCATGTTCTGTTAGATTACAGGGCAGCAGGCCTACCTTTGAAGCTCCTTTCCCTTTTGTTTCTTTGCCGTGCACTCCAGTAATTAACTTTGTCCTTCTTTTATTTGTTCCAGTCAATCGCAGGCCACTCTGCTGAGCATCTTCTCCCAGGAGTACCAGGTTAGAAGTTTTCTCCTTTGTGAGGGTTGACAGGTGCCTAATTGAATGATGAATGTCCCTTTATTTCTTTGTAATTGAACTGCCAGCTCTCTGATTGGGTTGGAGGATGTTCTCCTTTCCACATCAAGCACTGCCTGCGTCTCAGTGGAGGCCTGCCAAGCCTACTCATCCATCTGTCTAATAACATCTAGCCTTTGCTTATTTGGTGGACCTGTAATAAATTATGCTAAACCATTATTATTCTGACAATAATAATTTCCCTGTGTTGCATGGTTCCATGTGCTAAATGTTTGCTGACTTGCACTGTCAGTACTGCTTTCTATTGCTGACAGAGATGATGATAAATGACCATTGCTGGGATGGCAGAAGGCAAGAGAGGCAGAAAATGGAGTCATTTATCATGAGATGACAGGTGTCAGTCAAGTGGCAAGTCTCTAGGGAATTACTTTTTGTAGTTTTCAAATAAGTTGTTTTTAAGCAATGTTCTTCCTGGTTAAAAATGGCAATTGGATTGTAAAACTAGAGTGCCGAGGACTTAGATGGAATTGGATTGAGGGAAAATTAATACAAAGGTTGAAGGAGGGAACAAGTTTTTCTTTGCCCTCTGCAACCCTAAGCAAACTTATTTAGATTCAATTACTGTGACCCTGCTGGCTTTTACATATATACTGTACCTTCGGGTACAGTCTGAAGACATACCAGCCAAGCAGTAGAGATTAAAATGCTTGGGTTCATAGAGTCGGTGGAAAAAAAAGACCTACCACCACCCAGATCCCCAAACTGTTATTCTGTTGGCCCTACGTGTAAGACATTGGGATCAAGAAACATGTCCTTTTGGTTCTTGAACCTGATGTATAACACAGCTAAAAGACTTTTTTTTGTTTTGTTTCAGAAACATATTAAAAGAACACATGCCAAGCACCATACTTCGGAAGCCATTGAAAGTTATTACCAGAGGTATGACCTGCCTGCCCCACTAGAGGGTATCATAGTACCTATTAATTGTAGTAATAATTATGAGTAAATTAGGTTATTAAATTAATTTTCTATATAATAACCCAAGACATTGTGTCTTAAGTCTGTTACATGAGACTTCAAGTATTTTTTGAATGGTTTTTCAAAGGCTTTGTTTTGTATATCAAAAGAAAATGGTAAGATTATCTTGACTGTGTGTGTGCATGCTTAAGTGTATATATACATACTATGTAAGAAATAGTTACAATATTATGAAATTCCATTGACCACTTGAGACTTATTATAAGTGCATATCTGCTATAAATGCATATGTCCATATATGCATACATCTACATATATACATAAAAGTTCTAAAACTAATTTTTATTTATTTGTTATTTAGATCACTAAGTTCAAAAGGTACACTAGAAAATAAGTTTAAATTTTGGTGTAGTTATATTTTTCAACATAGATATTAGGCTAGCCATCTTAGAAATAAAAAATAAAGACATCAAATACGGACATATATAATAATGTATGACTGTCCCATTTCAAATGGCATTTTGTATTTTAGAAAAGAATATATTGGGTATTAAATCAACAGCATAAGGTCCAGGGAATATTTTGAATTTTAATTATTAATATTTTAATATTTTTATTTCAGCCTAATTTATTAGTTTTCAGCCTCTTCTTTTGAAACAAACAGAATCTTTAAACTAGCCTGCTTTGTTTTTTAATTCTCAGATTTATATTATCTTTGTAATATAACTGAATAGTTCATAGTGGTAAATGGTAATGACTTGCGTTTGAAATTGTGGGTTGGTTTCTCAAATATTTCAAGGAAATACAGGTGAATCCTATGGAAAAATAGTTTGAAATATGCTGTTAAATTATTACACTTCACATTGGCAAATAAAGCTTATCTGTGATGGAAGTAGGACACCACCCATGACAGATGAATGATTTTTATGCGTGAAAATTTTATGAACGAAATAAATATACAGATAAAATATTGGTGTCATATTTCTCTAAAGTCATTTGTTTTGGAATTGAGAAGTGTTTATTGAAAAGTTATGAAAGTAGATAAAAAAAAAAAATTAACCCTGCCGTATGTGGTAAAATGATATGTTCTATTTTGAGAAGTAGTATCTGTTACAGAAAGATACACACACACAATTTTCTGTCTAGGAGAGTTCTTCTCTAAACAAGCCTTTGGAAAGTTTGAATTGATTTATCCGAAAGTATAATCTGCTGGGTGAAATAAACATTTAAATTAAACTCATAACCCAAATTATACGTACAAAATTAAGATTGGCTCATGAAGTGCTCTGTGGCCAGCAACAACTGCTTTGGCATCCAGACTGTCAAAAAAAGAGACGAAAAAGTTACATGCAAAAAGTACATTCTTCTAAATATTCATAGTTTTAGGCCATCATAGAGGAGTCTGATTTTATATCCAGATTTTTAAACCATGTTAATGTAAGCAGAGGAGAGTAGAGCATTTTAGAAGAAGAAAGCATACTCTCTTTCTAGAAATGTGAGACCCACTTAGTGACAGTGGAACTACCCTCTGATATTTGTTTCCTCATTGTAAACAGACTGTTTTAATTCAATAGATTCTAAGATCTCTAGGCGCTGCTTAAAAAAATCTTCCCTAGTTTCACTAAAGGTATATTCAACTATTGAAGTATGAACATGCTTTCGTTGGATTAGCTGGATAGTTTAGGCCGTACATGGAAATCTTTCCTTTAAGACTGATTACTACAGGATAGTGAACAGTTGAGTGGATAATAATAAGAATACAGATATATATTTGTATTTCTTTGAATCTGTTTAAATACAAGAGTCTCAATTACTCTGACGAGCTCCAACATTTGGAATGAAAATACGAAATTAGTCTGTAATGGATAGACTCAGAGGAAAGCAATCTGACCACTTTCTAACTTTACTCACCTGTTCTCTGACTTTCTGGCTCTATAGTTTGTGCCAAGTACAGTCCGTGTTGTTACCTTTCAGGTGGATGGACCTCACCACCTCTTATTCTAAACATACAGGTCAAATGTCCGTACATTCTCTCAGGTAAATTGACCTTCTAAGATTTTTGTTTCTTTGATTTCTGTCTGATTAGAGTAAAGGCAAATTGTATTATATCAACACATATTGATTGTTTGACAGTGCTAATAACAATTTCTTTATTTTTATTCTTATTATAAAAATAATGCTCACCTATATTGAAAATTAAGCACATTGGCAGTGGAATAAAAAAGTAATGAATAATTCCCTGTAGTTGTGCCACCCAGAGATAACCATATGGGTATTTTTCTTTCTATTCTTTTTTTCGATTCATTTTTATATAGAATATATAAATATATGTATTATATATACATATATATGCAATTGTGAATCTTGAATTTTATACTTGGAACAATGTATATGACATAACATTATTTTGTAGAAAACCTTTTATAAACATTTTGTTGATTGCATTACTTCATCATATAAAATACTACAATTTATGAATTAGTCTTCTGTTGAATATACATGTTTCCAATGTTCTGATATAAATAATACTGTGATAAACACCTTTGTGCAAGAATCTTCACTTTTTGGATTAGTTTCTTAATATTTCTGTATTTGTAATTACTGTCGCCAACAAAGTCAACATTCAAAAAATTGTTGTATGTTGCTAACTTACTATCTAGAAAGGTTGTACTGGTTACATTCCTATTAGCAGCAGAAGAGAATTCCTTTGTCTCTGCATTCTCTCTAGCTTTGAGTTGATCTCAATTAAGAATTCAGAGTCAGTATTTAAACCATGTGATCCACAATGTTATTCATCATGGTTAACTGAGACACAGTCGTGGAAATGTTTTCTCAAGCTTCTGAATTATTTAAAAAATGTCCCCAGTTCTCCACATTGTGTATGTATAGGGAGAGCTTGAGTGTTCATTTTGAGAACAACTCTTCTTTCACACTGTCCTAATGCCATTTTATTTCCAAACTGGAAACATTCTTGGCAAGATTTATTTAGATTTGTCTAAATTGGTGAATATGGGCATGCGTGCGCGCGCGCACACACACACACGCACACGCAAGTTAGTCAGATTTTCAAGTCCGCATCCACAGCAAAGTTTAGACATATTCTCTCCCATCTCTTCCCTTCTCCCTGTCTATAGGGCCAGCTTTATTAGCTTTAGAGAATCAGATCGATTACATCTCATTCAGATGTTTACACGTAGAAAAGGTCGGTTCAAATGTTTTTGACATTACATGATAAAAATAAACATTCTGAGAATTTGAACTTTTTTTTTTTATTAGCACTGTTTGCTTTTCACTCACTACATCCCATATCCTATGCTAGGAACTGACTGTATAAAAGTGAATAAGATACAGTTCCTGCCCTCAACTGCTCTGCTTAAGGGGAAAACAGCTACGCACTTCAATCCAGAAAATGCAGTAAGGAGGTGCTGGCAGAGGTCTGTCTGTACAAAGTGCTGTGGGAGTCCCAACAGTTAGCAACGTGGAGTGTCAAGGACAACTTGTATAGACACAGTCTAGAAATTAGAGTTGCCTTTTCTAGTTCGTTAGGGAAGGAGAGGGCATTCCAAGCTGAGAGAAGCCACGGTCAGTGGCAGAGTGGTGATGTGGAACAGCTGTGAGTGTTCTTGTGCCAGAGCCTAGAGAACAGATGGAGCCCAGCAAGATAAGCCTGAACAGGTAGGCAGGTGCTGAGGGTCTTGTTCAAAGGAGTTGGATTTTTTTTTTTTTTTTTTTAAGGGCAGCACGTACCCAGTGGTAGATTTTAAGCAAGGGAGTCGTACGATCCGATCTTCATTTGGGGAAGATAATTCTGTGGCAGTGTGAAAGGACAGATGGGTCACAGAGCACCTGGAGGCAGAGGGACCTAGTAAGTCAGCTCTTAGTTCAGGTGAGAGAAGCTGGTGGCAGCAATAGTGAGCCGGGTTCCAGAGATTTCAGAGATAGAATCAACGAAGCCGGGGTTCGGATGTAAGTTCATGTAAGTTCATGTAGAAATTTTGGTTAGGTTTTTCAAGTGTGCCATTGCAGTTATTATGAAAATATTAAAGATAAATAACTTTGCCTTTGAATTGAGCACGTATTATTTTTCGTACATGCTAATGGATCTTTCACACTCAAAAAACACAATAAACTGGACCTTCTCTGAGGAATTTTAGGGATAATCTTACCCACAGGATCTAAATTGGTTAGCCCTCCTGTGGCAAAGCTAGAGGATAATATGTAGCTTCTGTGAAAAATAGTTTTAATGGGCAAATAGGCATCAAGAATGGAGCCCAGGTCACCTTAATACAGTGTTCGGGATGACATGCTTTTATCCCGATTACAATTCAGATCTTCCTAAGGGTCTGTTGGATAGAGGTTCAGCTATCATTTGTGCAGCTCTGGCCCCGAGGAGCTGCCAGCTTAGATGGAGAGACAAACAGAACTGTGTGAAAAGCGCTATGTTGTAAATTTGCACAAGTCGCTGTAAGGATGCAGAGAAGTGTGGCATTAGGAATTTCTGATTATGCCCTACTGAGTGTTTTCGGTAATGAGCCTGCCCCGTTCATTGCATATCTGAAAATTTGAATAAAGCCTGATTTATCAAATTGAGGTAAGGGACAATTAAAGTTCCCAAAAAGGACAAATACAACCTCACATTAATTTTAACTTATTTTTTTTCCCTAGCACTTCTGAAGTGCCATAGGATATAGTTGTAAAATGGGGAATAAATACATTCAGAAGCAGGTCTCTCCTTTTCAACACCTAAGTGCATCTCACTAGGCTTCGGGGAATCGGGGTTCCATTTCCAAGCTTTACTGCTCACCAGCTATTGTCTACCAGTGCCCCAGGATTTGGTTTCTCTTTATGATCAACTGGGAAGCTTTACCAACCCTGTAATTGAGAGTTTTCATTATGAAGTATATAAATGCTCATTAAGCATCTAAATGGTAAGAAGTATAAAAATGCTTTGAATTTTATAGACTGTATAGATGTGGAGGTTATTGTTATTGTTTGACCATCTCCTGTTAATTTTGAGTTGAGAGAAGTGCTCTATTGGTCACTACTGGGATAATGATTGATGCAACCTTTACATGAAACCATGTAATTTTGGCTCGGCAAGAGTTGTCTGGCACACGATGTGCTCTGGTGTTCTCACTGCCCTTTTCAGTATTTCCCGTCAGCTCTCACCGTGCTCTTCCCTGACTACACCGGGACTCTTGCTGGCCCTCGGCCGCCCCGGGCACATCCCTGGCATTTGCACTTAATGTTCTCTTACCGCTAATGGTGGCGTGGACCTTCCTTTCTTGGTGGCTGCTACTCGAGTGCCACTTCCCTAGAGAGCAGCTTCCTGACCACCCGTCTACCTTTATTTTTTATTGTAGCAGATACCATTATAGATTTCTTTAGATTTTTATTATCTTGCCTCCCCACTCTACTATAGTGTCTGTGATGCCAGGGACCATGGATGTGTGGCTTCCTGCTGCTTCTTCAGAACCTGGAATAAGGCCTGACACATAGTTAGCTCTCAGAAATATTTGGGAGAGGGTCCCTGATGGAGCAGTAGAACAATGGGATGCAGAACTCAAATTCTAGTAAGAAGACCAGACTTAATGGTCTGATTGAGACTGGAGGTGCCCCGGAAAGCATGGCCCCTGGTCTCTCCATCACCCCAGAACTAAAACAATTTCCGAGGCCAACTCTTCAGACAGGGATTCAACTGGACTGTGGGTCATAAAGTGAAACTTGTGAAGAATTGTTGCCTCTTAGACAAGTAGATACGAGAGACCAAAGGGGCGGCTTATGTCCAGAGGTGAGATGGGAAGGCAGAGAGAGGAGCTGGTTGAATGTTCATGGGGAAGCAGGGGCGGAGGGAAGGAGTGTGCTGTCGCAGAATGGGGTGAGCGGTTGGGGTCTCATAACAATGTATATAAAAAAAAAAAAAATTTCTGTATGGGAGACTAACTTGAAATGTAAACTTCATTTAATTACAACAATAAAAAAAAATATTTGGGAGATAAACGAATGTCAGTTAGGCAGAAAGTTGTAAAAGTAGGCTTATACACCTTGACTCAGAATCAGAATCCTTGATCAACATGCCCTTAAGATGATTCCAAACACATGACTGGATGGATTTAGTTGGACTTATTTCACTGAACTGATTGGTTGCTCCTTGACCAGGCCTGTCAGGGTAGTGGAGATGGTTATGAAAGTGGACTTGAGGTTCTCAGCTGACTTGTTTCTTAAGGACCCTTCTCTAAACTACTGGCCTTGTTTTTTTCACTTGCTTCTGAAAGTACTAATTTCCCATTTAAGTTTCCAAACAAAATGTTCAAGTAGGGCCCTATAATGTTGAAAATAAATTTTTTAAGAATTGCTTTGAAATTATCATGATCCCGAGACCACCCATACCTCAGATAATCTTTTACCCTACTTTACTCACAGGAGGATTCCACGTCTTTATAAGTGTAATTGTGAAATAATATAATTTAGTATTTGCTCCTGACAGTTATATGGAAGAACTTATATGTTCAACTTATCTTTTGCTATCAAAGAAATATCCTGAGTTTACTCACTCAAACAATATACTGTAGAGAAATGTCCATACTTAATTTTATTTTCTTAACCAACATGGCTTTTTAAAATTAGTGAATTACTGATTTATTAAAGAGAAAAAAAATCTGTATACACGTTATATAATCACCCACAGTAAGGCAAGAACTGTACTAAAATACAGTTCCCCTACCCTTAAGGGGTATTCATCCTTCCTGTGAGTGATGGAGGGGTTGAGATAGACCAAGTAACGAGGCAAATACTAGCCTGCTGTAAGTGATGGAGAGATGTACAGTCTATTCCTCGGTTACACTGGAGGGACACTTAACGTGCTCCTGGATTGTGATGGATTGAAGAAGGTGGCATCTAAACTGAATCATGAGTTGTCCAGGTGAACAGTAAGAGTGAGGGACAGTGAGTAGAGATGAAGCTGGCTGCATAGGTAGGAACCAGGGTCTGAAGACCTTATATAAATGGTTATAATTTGAATGTGGAGCCTTTGAAGTGTTTTAAGGAGGAAAATGTCACATTTAGATTTTTGTTTAAAATAAAACAAAACAAAAAATCACCCCAGCTTCCATGTCTAGGATAGATTTGGGGAGTTTTTTAGGTTTTTTTTTTTTTTTTCCTGTTTTATTGGGGTTAGGGAACAGGGAAAGCTGGAAGTTATTTTAGAAATCCAAGAGAGAGAAGATGATGACTTCTGTTGTGCTTATTTATCAAAGGTGTGCCGACCCACTGATGACAAGTCTGTCCCGTTTCTTTTTTGTTCCTTAATAAAATGTCAACTAGTCCTATGAAGCAAAGATAAACAAAACAATCAGATAGCACCTGGGTGTTTTATTCAAAGTAGAAGACTCAGCTTTTCCCACCCCAGGTAATGGTTGTCCGTTGTATAGACAAAGCCAGGGTGGTGTCCATGGTTCTTTAGAAAGTACGTCTGTGTTCACCTCACCTGTTAGGAGGTGGGAGCAGAGGACAGAGGAAACCCATGTGCTCAGACCTCTGGCCCCCAACTGCAGTACACTCGTTACCAATGGTTTCCAGTAGGTTGTTTTTGTTCCCCTTTTCCCTCCGACGCTTGCCTGTGACAGTAGCATACTTTAACTAGAGTTGAGCGTGGCATTTGCCCAGGAGACGCGTGTACACATGGGGGAGACTGACATGTCTATGCTGGCCTTTTCTTGTTACCACATTACCACTTGGCTTTGTCTCTAGGTACCTGAATGGAGTGGTGAAAAATGGGGCTGCCCCTGTGCTCTTGGAGCTGGCCAATGAGGTAATGTCATTGTTGTGATTATTTTATTTAAGCCTGCAGAAAACCTAAGGAGATTTCCTTAGAATTGTAGTTAACTTTAAAAAAGAAAAGAAAAGATTTTGAGGTGCATTAGATATTTAAATTGCTCCCTGGTCTCTTTGTACTTTTAGTAATTGGACTAAGAACTTCATGTATTAATAAATCAGTTAACATAATTAGTCTCTTACTTTTAAGGCAAATGTATAAACAGCCTCTTGGTTTCTTATTTTATGGAAAATTTCAACCAAACAGCTCAGGACATGCTCTTCTGAGGCCGTGTTGTCTTAATTTAGTATGAGAAGTACCTTTGTCAAGTACAGAGACATATGCCAAGACCATTGATACTATTATAGAAATGAAGAGAGAATTTATATATTTAGAGATGTGACGTTTACTCGATTCATTTTTTTTTTTTTGTTAGTAAACTTTTATTATAATGAGGCATACGTGCCTTGTAGAAAAGTCTCTTTCTTAACCTGAAGAAGTGCAGTGTTCTTATTAACACAAAGTCTAAGGTGATGTATTGAACTTATTTGTTAACTCTGATCTGCTTCTGTTTGGGGAAACAAATAATGGCCTTACATTTAAAAAAGGAAACCCTAAAGAGTTCCCATGAATGAAGATGCTGTAAAAAAGTTCATAATAGTTGCAGAGAGCATACCGAAAAAATAAAATATTTAATTCCTAAACTTTAAAATATTTATCTGTTGTAATAAGAGCAATACAATATTTAGTCTGACTTGGAACAGCTTATGCAAACCTCCTAGGGATGGAATGAAGTGCATAGTGTTTTTGTGCTGAGTTATAATGGAAAAAATAGAAGCAAGGCAGAAAATGTGCGTGTGCATTAAAGATGACTTGGTACCGTGAGCACTCAGTATTGTGGTAGCAGCAAGTTCTACATGTTATATTAGCGAGGAAGGATGGTTTCCTCCCAGCTTCTGTCTGCTGTACACCGCTGCAGTCAGCAAATGAGCAATTACCTATCAGTTACTAGAAGGTTTTAATGGTCCAGGCAATGTCTACACAATCAGATAGGATAGTTAACATATAGAATGGATTTCTCTCCTCCTTCTAGCAAAACGTATATTTTATTCTTGGTTTTTCCTATTCCTAGAGCAGAGCAGGTTGGTTTTTAAATGTCTCCAGACTTGTTTGTTAGGAGTTGCTACTGTTAGTCACTTAAGGTGTCTGAGCTGTAACTAGGACTTTAGTGATTGTTCAAATATGGTGCTCATTTGTATAATGATATTGATGCCATGTTTTGTACAATGGCAATTTATATTCATTTGAATTTTTAATGAATATTTCTGTTGGGCTTAGCTTATTTCACTGACCTCAGCTTCCATTTTAGAGTAATATGGAAAATTTTAACCCAACCAACACATTTTCTCCTACACCAGTAAACCTGTTATTTTAGCATGAATACATAGCAATATTTAGCCAAAGAAAAGAAATAGTTATTTAAAGATACCCCCACCTACCCCACCCCGCCGTGGGCTGCAGATGGTTACAGAGAAGATAGCACTTTCTGCAGGACTGCTAATGCATTAGGGAAATTTGGGAATGGCCAGTACCAGATTATGGCTTCTAAAAACCAAGCTGCCATTTTTATATGATAGTTAATACTTATATACTTGCACCTGGTGACAGTTGATGTGAGGTAATACTTTATGAGTCAATATATGTTTAATCAGTAGAAACTGTAAAAATTGATGAGAAAAATATAACATAGGTGCATTATGATGTACAGCAACTCTCTTATGGGGGAGTCCTGCATTATTGTTGATTTGGGGGGTAGGGGTTACTTGGGGCCGTCACTGATTTTAGAAATGTCTTAATACCGATTTTCCCTTTTCAGAGCTAAACGTGAACATTTTAAGAAATCTCACTTTGTTAGCAATAATAAGATCAGTCATTCTGTTCTCTCCACACAAATATTTTCAAGTGAGATTTGAAGCGCTATGAATTTTACTTACATGCTAAATTCTGACATGAAGGACGACAGCCCTGTTTCAGAGAAAGACGGACACATGATTAATATGAAAATTAGGGAGAGGCAAGTACCTGAACTAATAAGGTAGTCCTCATTCAGGCTGGGCTACCTTCCGTAATTTCACCATTTTTCATGTGTCAGCTCTGATGTGGGTTACTAGGGAAAAGCAGCTTCGTGGAAAGCATTTCTTTCTACTTGGGGGAATTTAAGGGCATCCAAGTACATACATATTTGAAAAAACTGTTCATACAAATGAAGCCAGGCTTTTTGCCTAGTTACTAAATCAAGATAAAATTTTGGTAGGAATATGGGTCTTGAAAACCTGTCAAGAAAAATTCATGGTGATAATATATGAGGAACGTTTGCTCTCTTACACCTAAGATAAAAAGACTTGTTTTAGGGAAGCATTATTGCTTTTTTTTTTAAAAAAAAAAAAAAAAGAAAGAAAGAAAATATTTATTTTCTGGTGAAATTAAATCGATGGTTAATAAAAGATCTGAGAACTAAAGAGAAGACAGTATGTTTCCAAAAGAGTAGGTGCATTTTTAACTAATCAGAGTGATTGCTGTACTGATTATTCCTTGTTGTCTGTTTGATCCTTTATAAAAAAGTTACCTTCCTGGGTTCTGTATTAAGTAAATTCATAAGTAACATTTCAAATAAGCCTAAGGATGGTGATTTTATATTGCAGTCATTACTATTGTTGTATTTTATTATTAATATCTCTGCAATATAGCTATTTTTCTTTTTATCCAACAAGATATTTTATATGTAACGAACTTATACCAAAAATTCAAGTTAAGCTTTAAAGATAAAATAAAATGAAATCCATCAAATCCATACTTTTGATGGTCAAGATCATTTAATCCAGCTTCTGAAAACACTCACTACCTAACAAAGAGGCCTTTTTATTTGAAATTACATTCAGAACAGTGTGAATATAGACAGTTGGATAGAAAAGATGGCTAGAATTAAAGGAAAAAAAATATTTTGGTCTACCAAGGGAAAAAGATTGAGGAGAGCTGATAAAAGCCCATTTTACTGTTTTAGATGCATACGATATGTCCAAGTTGTTCCGTCCTTTTTGCTCCAATATTATATTTAATAAATTTGACCTGCTTATGCTTTTCAATAACATGGATTATACTTGTTATAATTTTATTATAATGGAAGCCACCAAGAGTGGGGAAGATTTTAATGAAAGATGCTTGCTGTGGTTGATTAAAATTGACTTCATCTTCATTGTTGACAAAATACGGGAGTATCAGCTGCTCGCCTAACTTGGCGTTTTCCTTTGTACTTCTGTTTTGTAAAGGTGAACTATGCACCCTCATTAATGGCTCGGATTATACTGGAGCGGTTTCTGCAAGAGCGTGAGGAAACTCCACGTGAGTTAACCTTTTTTTTTTTTTCCCTTAGTGGGACTGTTTTACTCCCCGCCCCTCTCCAATTTAAAAATAATTTACACAGTATTTCAAGTCACTTAATGAGAGCCAGATTCCAAAATAGCTATCATGAACAGTTAATGACAATTAAATGCAATAGAAAAGACCACCCACAACTTAAAGGCTCTTCAGAATAATGCTGTCTTCTTTGTCTCCATTCCACACTCACCTCTCCATTCAGCAAAACAGACAATGTGTATCAAACTCAAACATGGATTCATCTTTCATATACAGAACAAGATACATCATTTAAAACACCCCTGTCAGGAACTGGCTCTAAAAGAAACATTCATCCTTTTTATTTTAATTCCGCAAGACTAGAGAAATACTACCTCCACGTGCAAACGTGAATTTCGCTGGTCTTCATACAAGAAAATAAAAAAGAAAAGAAAAGAAGAGAGCTACAGGAGGAGGTTCAAGCCTAAATTAATTTGCCACTGAAAAAATACATTTTGTTATTTTCTCTGTGTCAACTGCATGATTAAAACCAGCTGTTAAGTGAGCTCTGGGGATGTACTCGTAAAAGATTTATGAGTAATATTCAATGTGATATTCAAAGTGAGTCATGAATATCAGGATAATTGCTCTCAGTGCTGGCTCTTTTACTAGGCAGGAGTTTGTCAAATGCCCCATAAATATTTGCCTAGTCTCATGTAAAAAAGACAATTTCATCTTCTGCATTTTTATTACCTAGTGTAATGTTTACCTTTGGAGCTTAGCTGTGGTGGAATAGGAAAACAGCTTTGGAATATGCTTTATGCATATAATCTTCCCTCTTTGAAAGTAGAAGAGAATACCTACTAAAATATCATTCACTGGTACATGTTGGGTTTTTATTTTATTTTATTTTTTGTCAGGGATTTTCCCTTTGATTTCCTTTGAATCTGCAGTTATCAGTGACTGGTGACCCAGTTAACTTAGGAAGGTTTCATTTGAATGAATTAAGTACTTCCCCTAAAAATTCAATATCATTTCAACAGATGTAGCCTCTAACGTAACCTGCAGTGATGCTTCACGAGCAGATCACGTGATGTCAGAATGGTATGGTTTCGATTTAATCAAGAAAGAGATTAAAGTGGATGTGTGTTATTCTCAACTTCGCCACAGCACCCCCATTTGTCAAAGTCAACCTTCTGATTGCTTTGGACCCACTGCCATCCAGGTCTTGTCAAAATAGTAGTCAGCATAGTCTAAAGCAGGTAGACTGGTCTACGTAGAGGAGTATCAAACATAGTAAAACAGAATTCATTGACTGGTGAATTATGAAGTTAATAGGTTGATCATAAATTTTGTAGCCGTTAATTTATCTTTATAACACTGGCACATCTTTGGTACATTTTTCTTTTTATTTGGTACCATTTTAGACAGTACAGTTAAATAGTACTGAATCCAGTTTTTGATGTATACTGTATCTCAGCATTCCTATAACTCCCATGCCGGGATTAAATGCCTTGCATGAATTCACTGGAGAAGGACATGAGCATATTTAGAAACATATCCAGGAAAGGGTATTTCAAGAATGTGGCTTCTTGGAAGGGAGGCAAATGTAAATATCATATGCTTGAATTACACTATGATTATGGATAATCAAATAAGTGTATTTTGAGGCCTTTTCTTTTATAATTGGTTGGGTTAATGGCTGTTTTACCGTGAGTTGTTGTGGGGTGGGTTTATTTTTTCCTTTCAGTAAAATCATGACAGATACTTGATGTTATTTTTAATCATCATACGAGGCTATTGTGAAGCTACCTTTTTAACTCCGTCCTTCCCAGTGGGCTGACTGCCAGTCAAAGAGGCTATAAAAATACTCTTCTGGACAGAAAATGATTTGTAAAATCTTCTTAACGATTATACGGCAAACCATTATTAAAGGTCTATCATCTTCAAAAGTAATAAAAAAAATGTTAAAATTATCGCCAGGTTGCAGAATTGAATCAGTTTGCTGATAATGCTAGGTCATCTTCCTTTCTATTCTTTGTTTTTCTTGTTCCCTCTCCTTCCTTCCTTTTTGTCCCCCCCTTCCTTAAAGTAAAGAGCTTTAAGATACTGTGGCTTATATTCTGACACTTTCTTCCCCTTCACAGCAGTGACCTGGCTGGCCTTTGGCAATGAAATTCAATGCACATGGCTCTGCAGTCAAATCATCAAATTTCCCTGTGTGTATATTAGAGTTTTGTAATGTGTTTCCATTATGAAACAATGCAGGGATAATTGTCTTTGGTAGCAATTAGCTAACAGGTTTGTTCAGCACTATTGACAGAAGCATCCATCATCCCCTCCCTGCCCACACTTTTTGCCCAGTGTGGACTACGGAGATCAATAGAATGCTATATAGGGGAAATCACCTCAGCTTTAATGAGCTACAAGTCGCAGTCAGTCTTGGCTTGTATTTTTAATTTTTTCCTTTTAAAATTAGAAATCGGGGGGAAAAATCCTATTCCTTTGGGAGTGCAGAGTACTGTGTGTGTACTGTTACTTTCCCTAGATCAATGCTCAGTGTTACATTGTTTCTCCTTCTATAAAAAGCTATAGCCAATAGCATGGGACTCACATGCTGTGTGATTTCAGTATTTGAGACTGTCCACTTCGAAGGAGCACTGTTGGGTATTTTGTGGGATAGTTTTTGGGGTGTGATAGGTGCATTCTGCACCTATTACAATGTATATTGCTTAGCCTGACAAAAACACTGATGTATTGATAGGAAAAAACCAAACCAGACTTGTGGTCGAGTAGATTCCGACTCATAGTGACCCTATAGGACGCAGTAGAGCTGCCCCCTAGGGTTTCCAAGGAGCGCCTGGTGGATTTGAACTGCTGACCTTTAGGTTAGCAACCATAGCTCTTAATGACTGCACCATCAGGGCTCCATATTGATAGCGTTGGTATTATTTTATTTAAGCTATATGGAGATTGAATTTCAAAGAAGATAAGTCACTTGACCATGGTCCTATAATTATTAAAACATAAAATTGATCCTAGAACCCAGATTCCAAACTAAGTCTGTTCTCAGTCTCCTAAATTGTGTTATTTTTCTTCTTCCTAAATTAGATACAATAGAAAATTTATCCACATTGTGCCTTTTATTTTCCTCATGACATTGGAATGGAATCTGAAGTAGCCTCATTCTAAGGGAAAATACCGTATTTTTTCACAAATTATAAGCCCACATAAGTAATGCACCACACATAGAACGCCTAGGAAAATGATGCACAAGGGGGTTGGGTGTTTGGCAAAAAACATAATCTGTGCATTATTTGTGTAAAAATACAGCAGTTAGCATTTCCATGGCTCTCTATGGCCTCAGAGTAACCCAGTGAGGTAGGCGGGGTGCGTGAGGTGAGTTTACAGTTTAGGACACTGAGCCATAGTAGACGGAAGTGATAGTGGAGGGCATGGTATCCACTGGCAGTGCTAGGACGTGAATTCATGGCTCCCAACTCCTGGTGTAGCGGTTAAGAGCTATGGATGCTAACCAAAATGTCGGCAGTTCAGATCCACCAGGAGCTCCTGGGAAAATCTGTGGGGCAGGTCTACTCTGTCCTATAGTGTCACTATGAGTCGGAATCGGCTCTTCGACAACGAGTTTTTTTTTTTTAACTCGCAGTCAACAGCATCATGGTGGGTAGAGTAGCAGTTAAAGAAATTGTTGGGGAAATGCTGTCAGAGTAGGATTGCAGGTTTTATAGACCTGGGCAGAAGCGGTAGATGAAGAGCTCTGTCATACTATCAATCCGCATGATTGAGACATGCTGCTCAGCATTCTTTCTTCTTAGCATAGGACATTACCAACAGCATTTTGATTAATAATAAGCAATAGGTGGATTCCATTGGTTTATGCCTTAAAAATGGAAGTCCTTATATTTGGAAAAATCCTTTAAATATCAAAGTACATTTCTGTTTTGCATTGTGTTTTCTAATTGTAACAATGGATCGAATAATTGCAAAGTGATTACTAGTTAACAGACTGAGTTGCTAAGGAAACCTGAATTTTAATTCCACGATTTATAATCAAGCCCGGAGTCCCCCCTTCCTCAGTGAGTGAGTGAATGAGTAAATGGGTTAGTTTCATAATAAGAACCATGACTTTCCACTAAGAGCCATATTCTAGATAGCTCTGTTAATGAAGATTTCCCCAAGTGGAGTAGACGTTATCATGGAAGTATTCTTAAACAAGACTACGTAAATACTTAAAATCCTTTCATGAAAGATCAATCATCTGTAACTTATGAAGTAAGCACTATTATTAATAAGGAGGGTGGCATTATAATAAAATTATAAATTAAGATTATTAGCAGATTAAATTTCTAAGGAATCATGAGGAAAATGTCTCCATCCATATTATAAGTTGATAATTTTATTTCCTGAAGATATTATACAGCTTCTCTCTCCTTTCTTCCATGAATCAGTATATTCTCCCTGGCTTTGGGATAGACCATAATGCATAGTCATATCCTTTTAAAAAGAACAATATAGTTGAATGAAGTATGAAGTAAAGATGAACACTTTGTAGAGTTCTACTTTACCTTCTGTATTTTCATCAGAGGATGTTCTCTTCTACCTGGTGTGCTTACAGTTTTGTCCTCCAGAAATGGAATTATGTTTTCCTCAATGGAATTACTGATTTTTGCTCTTACCGTTTGAATGAGCTTATTAACTTCAGTTTTGAAGCAAACTGGTTTCAGGGCAGTGTGCTGGATAGGCCATCAGTACACAGTACAACCATCTTTAAAATTCGGGGTTTAATAGAAGAAGGTGTGAGAAGGCATCAGTATGTTGTTGGGTTCTGATCAGACTTTGAGCATCCCCTTATTAACAGTACTGGAGTCCTGATTCCTTTGGAATTCATGTTGTTGATTTTTCTGCAGTTTGTCAAGAGCTATTAGAATGCTGACTATATTCTTGACACTCTGCTAGGTACTTTGGTACATGGAATAAGGAGTAAA